GCTCGCAAACTTAAAATGTTGTTTATTGTGAGTGCTAAAAGAAAATTGCTTCTAATATCATATCTTTACATTTTAATGCAATTAAACGAATACAAAACATTTTGTAACAAATCTATTAATGCAATGATTGGTGACCTTTATATAAGAGAAGAAAACAAATGCCAAGAACAAATTAATAAATGAATCTTAGAGCACATTATTATTTACACAAAAGACTTATCTATTAAAAATAAAAGAAAATTCATGAAAAATTAAAAGAAACCAAATTTTAAGGGTAAGCTAAGTAAGATCCAAGCCAAAGTGAAGGTGTATGAAAATACGTAAAGGTGTGCATTGTGAATGTACAAAAATAGTGTCTTATTGCTGTTAGGATGCAAGGTATGTTATTTTTGAAAGTTGAACCCTATTCTAAATTTATAAATTTCGAAATGTTACAAACAAATTTTAAAGGAAACATCAGGCAAGACTTTTTTACCTTTCTACTTTACATTGTAGTATTTATGATTAGTATAAGAAAAAATGCACTTTAAGGATTAACATTTTATTTTTATTAATTCAGTTTTTAAAATAACTTGCTAATAATTATTTTTTCTATTGTGAGACAATATAGATAGTAAGTGAAGGCAAGTAAACTACTATACTGACATTATTAGCGTGATTTTGAAATTTTTTGAACTTTTTTCATTTCAATAGAATGAAATATATTAGATGACTATACTCTTATGTATGGGCACAGAGGAACAATGTTACTTTTTTTGTTATTCCGCATAAAATAACATTTTAAGTCATTTCTCTGTGAAGTTATTTTTAAAAAAATGTGAAATATTTTTTGCTCCTTTTCTGATTTTCTGAAGTTATTTTTCAAATTTACTGCATTTTTTTCCTTCTTGAGGAGAATGCTTAGAAAAAACCACTCACAAGAATTTACAGTAGGTAGTTAAAGGCATTTACATTGCGAAGTATTTACATAATTAAGAAATGACTTAAAACACACAAGNTACACCATGCCTTTAGATTTTATAACTTGGCAAATACCCTGGGTATTTACCCGAGTTAATACTCAAAATTCACAAATACCTGGGTATTTATGAATTTTATTGAAAATTCAATGATCATCTTCTTTTGGGTGTTAAAAAATTATATATATTTAAGGTACAATTAAGTTTTACTCACATTCAAAGAAATTAATTAGTTCTTAACTAAGAAGAAAAATCTATTCATAAATTGTTGGAATCATTGTATTTTAGTTTTCATTTGAGAATGGCTATGGTTTAATCATCCTCACATTTTGATTCATAATTCCCAATATTTTTGGTTTCTCATCTCAGAATATATTTTTGAAATTTAAAATGTTTTTCAGATTTTAATTTATTTAAAAAAAAATTATCATACAAAACTTTCTCTGCCTGTGAATACTATGCAATTTTAACTTGGATCTATATTTAGTTGTGATGTGATGGTATCTGAACAATAATGCTTATTGTGTTAATTTAAATTGGCTGTAAATCTTTAAGCTTTTATATAGTTATTTGTAATTGATTGAAAAGTATAGAGCTTAATATTAAAAAGATTTTCAAAGGGGTAAAAAATATATGCTAAGACTAGTGTACCTGTTTCAGTATTTTATGAGTTGAGTTTAATAAGTTGTTAAGCTTCTGTTTTAAAAATAACTGCTGTGGGGAAAGCGGATTTATTAAGAAAGGGAATAGACTTTGTACTGTATAAATATTTTTGAAAAAATCATTGGATATATTTAATTTTTATAATTTAAATTTATTACGGAAATCATGAAGTTATTTGATTTCACAAATCAAAAAAGTAATTTATTATGAACTTTCTAGAAAGGCATTCTTTCATAATTATGCTTTATGTGTTACCTTTCGTGCTTCTTTTTTAGATAACTTGTTCAACTTTTATTTTTTAAGTTATTTAGTTCTGTTTTAAAAAAATTGAGTGTATTTATGCTTTTTTTACCCTTTTCAGAACAATGAAAATGATTACCTAAGTTACGCCACTTCACAAATGATACTTCAATAGATATCTTATTGTCTAGTAGCTCTTCATACTGCCTATCAACTGTGGATACTGTGACTCAAGAGCTCAATAATTTGTTTTTGTATTCCGTAGTCCAGCATTTTGTGGAAAAGTGTTTTGTTGCTGGTCATAGTTTAGGTAAGATGAAAATAGTTTCAAATTTTGCGTACACTGAATAGCTGTTTTATAATGATTATCTTTTTAATATCTCTTTTGGCTACTTTTTTTTTCTTTCAATACACTTTTAATTCTTAATATTTACTCTGCAAGGAGTTGTTTCCTTGTTTGTGTGATTCCAATATATCCAATTTATTGCATTTTATAAAAAGCTAATATAAATGTTGAATTCTTCTCATTCAGACTGGAAGGCTTCTACCTCTCAGCCTCAACAATTGAATTTTTCTCTTTACAGAAATTCTTGGTGATGAGAGAATTTTTCTCTTGATCCCTTTGAGAAGAATGAAATTGAAGTTCAACCTGAATATTTTAATGTTGTAATTTTTTAATCTTCGTGTAAGAAAAATTAGAAATGGAAATTGATTCAGATTTTTATTATTTAATTATTTATTTGAAAATATTGTGAATAAAGTTTTCCGTTCTGAGCAACTCATGATCAAAGAAACTTCCATTAAACTGTGCAACTTTTCTAAAAATAGAAGTTCACTAGCCGGCGTAAGTAAAGCTAGAATTATTAATTTCAAAAATTGACAGTGCAAATATTTTGAGATGTTCTTGGTTTGAGCCTTTGGGAATTTCATTAACTGTAATCCAGTATCTCTTCTTATAAAGTCGGTTATTGCTCCTGTTCGATGTAAAGCGAGAAGCGTTTCTTGCGCAATTAGGCCCAAAATTGAAGCTGTGCTGCCCTAGCAAAATATTAAAGTGAAGGGGTTATTGAAGAAATTTCTAATCCAAAATGGTCAGCCCCGGTTTTTCTAGTGATTAAATCTTCGGGTGAAGTACGTTTGTGCGGAGATTATAAAATCATGTTAAACAAAGCAACGAGTGCTCATCTTTTTGTGATTTCCACTGTAAATCACCTCCTTACGAATCTTAAAAAAGAAGGTTATTATGGTAAAATAGATTTGGCTCAGATATACTAAAAATTATCAGTTGATGATGCTTCCACTGAAGCTCAAACTATTATCACGCATAAACGTGCATATAAGGTAAAAAGGATTCAATTTAAAATTAACATAGCCCCAGGAATTTTTCAAAATTTAATTGAAGATTTATCTAGAAAATTTAGAAGGAGTTGTTCCTTATTTTGATTGGAGGAAGCTCTGAAGAAGAGTTAGCTACTTGTTTTAAGCAAGTACTTGAGCATTTGAAAAGAGCGGGTCTTGAAACAAATAGGGAAAAATTATTTTTTAGTGTAAATCAAGTTCGATTTTTTGGGGCTACCGTATCGATGCAAAGGGTATTCACCTTTCCAAATGTAAAGTAATATGTTCATACATGTGGTGGCCAGATTATGACATAGAATTGCATGTTGAGAGATTCCAAAAAATGTTAACAGACTTGTCATGCCCCTAGCTTTACAGGGACAAGCATTGCTCATCATAGTAGATGCCATATCAAAGTGGATGGAAGTGTGTCACATGACTTCAACATCCGCCTCTACAATAGTCGATATCCTCCAAGAAATTTTTGCTACCCATGGAATACCTCATGTCATTGTTTCCGATAACGGAGGTAAATTTTGAGCATCTGTTTACCAGACTTTCTTGGAGATGAATCTTATTTAAAGGGTTATGATCACTCCAAGACGTCAGTCCAGAGAAAGAACAGTCCAGACTGTAAAGACATATCATGATGGGAAATTGGAGGTAACATCTAGCAAAATTTTTTCTTCAACAACATTGCAATCCTACCAGAACAATTAGTGCTGATGGAGAGGGAGAACTTTTTTAGATAGTCTCCATTAAGATCTGACAGCTGAGAAAAAGTTAAGGCAGGAGAAAGATGTGTGTAAGAAATATAGCGATTGTCTTCAAAGATCGTTCAGTGTCGATGATCCAGTCTTATGGACATGGTCAAAAGTGATTTCCAGCAATAGTGGTTAAGTCCATTTTCTTACCAAGCTGTTACAACAACTGGTGATATAGTAAAACGTCGCATAGATCAACTTGATTTTTGTACCTGCTATAATTTTTCTTATTCATGAATTTATTTTTAAAAGATGATAATTTTAGTTGTGTAAATTATGGACTTGTTCAATGAATGGTGCATATTTTATAATAAAACAATACTTTGAGACACACTGGATATACTCTTTGGCTAGTGCAGAGTTATTCAAAGCGTAGTGTTGAAGACATCCTTGTTGCAGTTGATTCATCAGAAATACCGCGCATAATTTTACTGTGTCATCGAGCTCTGAGTTAATTAACAAGCTATATACAGAATAAATTATTAAAAATCATTAAAATAATTCTTAAATAAATGATAAATTAATATATGCAATCTTACTTTAAATCAGAAATTATGTGTAAACTATTCAACTATGTAAACTATTCAACTATGTAAACTATTCAAATGCAACACAATCACATACAACACAATCACATAAATACTTATTTAAAGTACTGGAATTTTATGTATAACAAGTGATTAAGAGCCTAAATATAACAAAAATAAGTTATTAAAATAAAATATGTTGATGAAAAGAATCTGTCTACAATTGTAATCCCATCCCATCACTTTATCGTAATTTGATTTGAGATGCCTAAATATAATAAAATCAAATGAAGAAACAGCTAAAAATCCTTATAGTCAGAATAAAAATTAATAATAATTAAATAAAGTAAAATAAATCTTGTTTTGCATAAAATTGTGCAGCGCACAAAAGTCATGAACGCATCGCGATTCTTTTGGCTAATCTTTTAATTTCTGAAATTTTAACCTATCAAATGATAACCAGCTAAAAACCTTTAAAATAATTTTTAAAAATTTTTTTATAAAAAATAAACAAATGATCTTGTTGCTTAAATGATCTATCTTATAGGCCAAGTTTATCTTCACTTTCAAGTTCAACTTTATTATTTTTATTCTCAGAAATATAAGACTTCAAAATTTTTTGATATTCAAGTAAAATGATGCAACATGATGAGGACGTGAATAAAAGAAGAATGCGAAAACTGCTTTATTAATTCTATATTTAGCTGTTTAATCATTAGATTTATTTATAACTGGGATATTACAAACATTATTATAAGAGAAATAATGCATTTTCTGCTTTAATTTTATTCAAAACTACATTATTTGTTCAGTTTTTATATCTTAATTTTTAAAAATTATTTTAAAGGTTTTCAGTTGTTTATCATTTAAATAAGGGTAAATGATAAATTATAGATAAATGATTAACGGTCAATTTTAATAATTTTGGTGAATTTTAATTCTTTAATATTTCTTAACTTTGTTTGGAAAATTTTAATAGTTTAGATCAAGGGATTCAATTTTGAAGCATTTGTTAAATTTTGACTTAAAATTATTCCAGCAAATATGTTTAGGATAATTCATAGTGTTTTTTATGCGGTTAAGTGTTTTGTATATTTACATCGTTATTATTGTGAAAAATATGTGTCTTATTATGCTAAATTCTAATCTTCAGTGTTAGTTTTGTGTTTGAATTTTATTTAAAACCCATAACTTGGGGAAAAGATGTAATATCAGAATTTATCAATTTGTCTATTATTTGTGTTAATTCAGAGATGGCTCTGCCTTCGCATTGCTTTTGGGAGTAACCTCCTTCCTAAAAGGAGTTACTCCCAAAGGGTTGTCTGGCTTAAGACTATTTGTTTTGTTTTCCTAATTTTTAACAAATGTTATTAAGTTTAATTTTGGAGTTTATTCAAGAAGTCCATTTTCAACGAACCTCAAATACTACATTATGCCTGTTTTTTTAAAAAAAATTTGTTTATCTTACTTAAAGACCTATATCCGTAAAAACTTATTTTCCTGACGTGTCGAAATCTTGATGATTCCGAACATGGGGCTTTCCATTGTATTAAAATGTACTTGATAATAAAGTATCAAAATGTATGCATATATATAATATGTACTCATATTCATTCAATATTAATATTTTTAGGTACTTTGATTCTTTTTTATATTCTTTCAAACCAAAACTTTAATGATTGCAGCAAAGAAAGGGCAAAACCTGAAGTTCTTGAAAGCTTTGAAAGTAACCAGCAAGAATTAGAAAGCTTTGAAGATCTTGAACATCTTTTAAGAACTTTGAATTTAGCAGAATATTTAGATACTTTTAATGAGGACGAAATTAGTTTATCAACACTGGTGAGGGTTGACCGAAAAGTTTTCCTCTTTAATGTGAAAACTAATTCATGTTATTCATAGGTGGTGTATTTAGCTTCAACCAAATTTGAAAGTTCTTTATCTATATTTTAGTTCTTTTTATCGGATGAAGATTAGAAGAACATGGGCTTACCTATTGGTCCGGGTCGAAAATTGATGAATGCTGTTAAGAAAAATTGATGCTTTTTTATGTAGTATTTTTTTTTATAAAATAACTAATTTTTTTAAATCATAGCTTTTAATACATAACATAATTTGCATTTGCTGAAAACTCCAATAATAGCAGTAAAACTTACATTTTTAAAAATTGTTTTTTTTTTTTAATTTTATATTTAACTCTTAAAATGAGTTTAAACCTTTCAATATGGTTTATTCATAGGATTATATACCATCATTTGGTTATAAATTATGTCTCTTAAATTATATTAGCATATTTGCTAAATTATTTTTTAATTTTTTCCTATATCTTATGTAGTTAGCTTTTGTGGTGTTTGTGAATTTTGTTTTCATTTGTTTAAAATCATTACATATGTTTATGCTTTATTTGACCTTTCACATAAAAATGCAATATCTTTTTTTAGAAATTTTTTGTTGAAATTTCGGCTACAATATCAATAAAATTTTATATGAAATTGAACACTCAACTATTGCAATGTAACTGTTTAAGAAAAATTTCTTGATATATATTTACTTTGTTTATATGTATTTTTTCATTTTGTGTGCTACCAAATTATGCATGCCCTACAATTTCTGTTAGATTTAATTCTTTATGTGCTTCATTAAAACTATTAAAATGTAAATTAAATAAGTTTTGAATTGAAAAATTATTGCAATATGAGCAAGAGTTTTAATTTTCTTATTTTCACCTAAAACATTTAATGGTCACATGATCAACCATTTTATCGATTGATTGATTTTAGCAAAAAGTTAGAAAGTCCTTTTAAAGTTTCTAAATTTATTTAATTTCAAGCAAAGTATTGTTAGTTTTATTTAATTCTTGTTGTCGTATTGATAACAGTTCACTTAATTCTTTTTTATCCAACTAATCTAAAATTTTGCGATTGGATTCAATCCAAGGGAGTAAGCTGATCAATCCATAATTTAATTATATTTTTAGGTAGAGCTAGCTGCCAGTGCTTGCACTAGAGTGTATGGATGTGTTGTCGTGTTGCCAAAACAAGCTTAGATTTCCTATTCTTCTTCGAAAACGTTTTAAGTTTGTCCTGTAGAACTTTTTGAGAGTAGTCCTTGTTATCCATTTTATGTGAAGTAAAGGCTAAATTTAGTTTACCTTGTTTACTGTAGGCTTGCCAGGATAATTTTTTCTTTCGACAAATCCCTCCTATAATATGAGTATCCATCTGGGCATTTTATAAATTAAAATTTTGGTCACTAAAAATAACCTGTAATGAAAATTACTAATTTTGAGAATAGTGGTTTCATCGCAACGAAAATTGTTAGTTTAATATTTATTAGTGATTAATTACCATTCTTGTTTTTTTTTCTTCAAAAATTTAATCTTGTGACTTTATGATGAGGTTTCTGACTTTCCCTTTATTGCTCAGAGAACTGAATCCTTTAAAACATCTAGGTTGAATTTTGTTCATACTTCAAACATTGACTTATTTGACACTGTTTGAATATTTTTTTTTTCTTCCCAATGAAAAAGATTTTGAGGATGCCCTGTATATTTATTCAACACTTAGATATACTGTTTAGTTAAAATGTAAATTGCGCCAATTAAATGTTTTAGAATGTACATATACTCTAAAGTGCAGTCATCTGACCTTTCTCTAGGTCAGACAGCTGAGTTTCGTAGGGCATGAAATAAAATTGAAATTTCAATATCAAAATAAGAGCAGAATATATATATTTTTGTGATTTTTTTTCCTTCATATTTGTATGATGCAGCTAAAATCAAAATAAATAATTTGCAGTCTCACATGAATTTGTAGTAAGCATTTTTTTAAAATAAAATCTAATAAATTACAAGCAGCTTTATGTTTTTATTATTATCTAAATTTTATTTTTCAGTAGTATGTGCATATTTCTTTTCCTCACTGACTATAGTTGCTCCTGTAAAATGTTCAAAAACTTATTACCAAAGATATACGAGGGTGTTTCGAAAAGTAAAGATACACCGTACGCCAGAGGAAAAGAAAAGTTTTCGCGAGCAAGTTGGCAACACAGGTTTTAACCTTGAACCTTTAGCTTTCTCCTCGCAGTCGTTCGGCATTTCAACGTTGATTCTGGTTGGAGTAGGTCGTGTTTAAAATGGCTGCGGCGATTCAGAATCCCGCCAAATGCGAAGTGCGCTCTGTCATACGTTTTCTTCATGCAAAAGGTCAGAGACCAGCGGATATTCACAAGGAATTTGTTTCTGTTTATGTGAACGTTATGAATAGACAAAATGTAACGAAGTGGTGTTGTCATTTCTCTGAAGGTAGGACCGATATTCATGACGAACAAAGAACAGGTCGGCCATCTGTGATCTTAGATGCCCTTCTTCAGAGAACGGAGGAAGCAATTCGTGCGAATAGACGTCTCAAATTGAAAGAATTGCGTCAGATCATACCGGAAGTTTTAATGACAACTCTTTATGAAGTTGTGACTGTCAAGTTAGGGTACAGGAAATTTTGTGCGCGCTGGGTTCCAAAAATGTTAACAGAAGAACACAAAAAGAAAAGGATGGGCTTTGCACTCGACTTCCTCACACGCTATGCAGAAGCAGGTGATGAGTTTCTTGATCACATTGTGACAGGTGACGAGACGTGGGTTTATCACCATACACCTGAATCCAAGCAACAATCAATGCAATGGCGCCATTCGAATTCACCCAAAGCCAAGAAATTCAAAACTTCGATTTCAGCGAAAAAAATCATGGCTTCTGTTTTTTGGGACAGACAAGGCATTCTTCTGTTGGAATTTATGCCTCCCGGAACGACAATTAATGCTGCTGCATATTGCCAGACTTTGAAACGTCTTCGAAGGGCAATTCAAAACAAACGCAGGGGAATGCTGACAAATGGAGTCCGCTTGCTTCATGACAACGCTCGGCCTCACACAGCGCTCGTAACCAAAGCACTACTCAAACAATTCAAATGGCAAGTATTGGACCATCCGCCATACAGCCCGGACCTTGCGCCCAGCGACTTCCATTTATTCCTTTACCTGAAGTCACATCTTGGTGGAAAATCATTCCACGACGATGATGAGATCAAAGATGAAGTTGAAATGTGGTTCCGACAACAGGCGGCAACCTTCTATGACTGTGGGATACAAAAGCTTGTGCACCGACTTAACAAATGTTTGGATAACGGGGGTGATTATGTCGAAAAATATTAAATAATCGAATTAATTAGATGTAACTGAATAAATGTTTTTTTTTAAGGAATGTGATCCATTGTATCTTTAATTTTCGAAACGCCCTCGTAATAAAAAAACTTGAGTTATTTGCTAAATATTTCTGAATCTAATTTAATTCCGTAGTGTATAAACCAGGCTAGAATAAGTGTGTATGATTTGTATAACAAAAACCCAGAATATTTTACTCTTGTTTTATATGAAAAACACAAGATGAATTTTGTTTTGGTATTATTATGATAAATATTATCAAAATACATTGTATACAATACAAATATTTTTGTATTATTTAGTTTATTTACATTCTATCAAAATTATAAAAATATAGTTATAAAAGTAGACAGTGTACAAAGATATAAATATTTTTGTCAGTGTAGTCTTGCCTATAATTATAACTATGCATAAGAATTTTTCATCTTATAACTATGCATAACATGAAAAATTTGACGAAATCGAGATAGTAAACAATTTTTCATTTCATTAAATAGCAGGAAATCTAATCATAGGTGAGAGTTTTCTGTTGTTAAAATCATTCAACGCTGTTCCTCATCTACCAACCAGTACCGTCTTTACGCATGGGCACACCCGGGCAGTGCCCGGGGGCCTCAACCCCTCAGGGGGGCCCTTGAGAATCTAATTTTTCATAAATTGAATTTAAAAAAAAACTATGAATAAACAACACCGCATAATTTTTAAAATAAATATTTTCTCGTGTAAAAAGTGAGCATTTTTTTTCTATCAATAGTGATTGTTTATCATGTAAACACCAACAATTTGAATAGTTTAAAAAGTCAACCGAAATTTATTTTTTTTACGTTAAAATGAAGTTTTTCGGTACTCTTTAAGTCAATGTCTCTAAATATGCTTGACCGCCATCCACTCTGTTTAGTATTTATAATGAGTTAAATAAAGTAATAATTGAAAGAGTTCAGAATTGCAGAGCACAATGGGACAGCAACTTTTAAACTGATTGTGTCTGATGTGCAGTGAAAGATGTTTAAATAACCAATTTTTTGAATAGTTGGACGAAATAATTCGTACTTTTAGAATTATTTTTTTATTTGTTATACCCTTAAGTTTTTCTAATTAAATTATTTTTTATTAGCTTCTTGGTTTTTCAAAATTATTCCATTATTTGAGGATTGCAACTGATGGTTAGTACCTCGAATCTCAATTTAAAAAAAAAATTGATGCATATAGGGATCCTAAATTATTTATTTAGGACCACACGTTTAAAAATGCTTTTTTTTAATGCTTTTCATTGAGTGTTTAGGGGTAATAAAAATATGTTTAAGTTAGTTAAAATTATTGCATATCTTAAAAATGCTTTGTTTTATGTATGTGAAGTTTTTTAGTTCGATTTTTAACAGTATGACAAGCTACAGCCAAAACATCTCTGTGCCCGGGGGCCCTGCTTGCCACTAAGACGGCCCTGCTACCAACCTTTATTTCTAGAAATCATAATTCTAATAATTTAGCTAACCATCTTTCCAGTAGCCCACCCTTTTTCAAATTGTGGAATTATTTTCCTAATTTCATCTTCGGTACTCTGAGGTACCAGGTTATACCTCTCTCACATGATTATTATAGCTTTTTTGTTTATCTTGCTCCTCAGTTTTTGTAGGGGACCCACTTTGTACCTGTGATGAACTCCTTACTTTTTCCTATCATTTTCGTCATCAGACATAGACGAAAGATTTTGTTTAGAAAACTAAAACTATAGTATGTCCATATTTGAATATTTAAACTTTACTTTTGCTTTACTCAGGCTATTTTTTGTTTCTGTCTACGTAGAGCAATATCTTCCTCTAAACAAAACACTCATTAAATAAAACTAAAAAAGAAAAGAAAAATTCTGATCATAAAACTTTTCTAGAGAATAAAACTTTTTCATATACGAAGTAATTCTATATGAGTAAATATTACTGATACTTATTGTATCGAGTAATTTTTTTATTGATTGTATATCTAATCGAAGTTTTGACTGGAAATTACAATGTATATTTCTTAAGTTACAGACTTTGTCTGTCATATTTTAATGTACATTGAACCCAATATAAAATAAAAGTCTAGATAAAGAACTGGCATCCTTTCGTCAATATTAACTTTAAAAGCTCGTAATTTTGGATCTGCTTAATCTGTATTTTAATTTATTTAAGCTTGGTGCAAACAAAGATCCATCTAAGCCTTTATGTTGGTCCATTTTTTACTATTTTAAACCATAAAATAAACAACAAAGTTTTACTTTATCAGCTCTGGGATATTGGTTATTATAATGCATATCAATTACTGCTTTTTCCTGTTCCACTCTATCGAGAAAAATAATATTAGAGTCAACTTATCATATAATGTTAGAGCATTAATTCAAAAAGAACTGAAATTAATACAAAAAAGTTTATTTATAAAATGTTAACAGGCTTATGATTTTTTCAATCAGAATAATTAACTTTTTCTTTTTAACCTCAAATAATATTTTATACTACATGCATGTTTTTTTCGTTTAATAAAAATAAATTTGTTTTATTTTTTGTTGGTTGAAATTTATTGTGGAATCTAGAATGGCTATACTAATGGCCAGTCAGTACGTTAAAAAGTTATAATGATTTTTTTAAAGCAATGAAAAAGACTCAAAACCAGGCTCAGACCAGCCAAGGAGTGTGTTTCTCCTTTTTGAATCATGTACAGAAAAAAAAATCAAAAGTACAATTTTTAGCAGTAAAGAAAGCTAATTGTTAAAAAACTAATTTTAAAGTTTCATTTGACATAATATTATCTGATATGCATGTTAGTTAAAAAATGTAAAACAGTCTAATGCATATCATTTTCATGCTGGAATATCCACTAAATTCCTATAGATTATTGGAATATATTTTCACTATATTATACTAGAATGAAGATCTGTAAGATTGAACAACACCTTTTGGTCAGTCGGTCTCTATGGGATTGCAAAACTGTCAATTCAGGTGACGGAAGATTAAGTATTTTGCCATACTAATCATACGTTATGGTGTATAATACACCCCTAGAAATAAAGCATATTGTCCCAAATCAAAAAGTATTCGATTTCTCTTAAAAAGTTGATGTATAAAATATTTCAGTTTTCTAATCTACTTTAGGGGTTAGCAAAGACATCGTAAGTTGAGATTTCCCTTAAAAATATCCCTAAATTCTGTATTTTTCAAACTCAAATACTTATTTCATTAATTTTACTTTATTTTGAACGTCGTTGAACAGCCGATCCAAATCTATGTTTACGACTACAAATGTTCAACTTCGTATCCTTGTAATTCTGATTCTGGTCCAGAAGACGAGGGATTTCCTGGTACCCCCAGGGGTAATGATTTATTGAGGAAACTTGGAGGACCCCGACAGATTTAACTCGCCCCAGTCACTATTTAATACACGGGGGTAATATTCAGTAACAAAAAACGTATCCATAATTGTTTTTTCTAGCATCATTTACGTCAAATAAAGTCATCGCCAAAGATAACACTGACTATTAAACTTTTCCGTAATGAAGTGTTTTCTTTTAACTTAGGAATTTCATTTTAAACTGATTTCTAATTTTAATTGAGTTTTTT